TTTTCACTTTGGATCTGTGGCCGCAGTGAATTAAAACGTGTTTTCTTTCCCTCAATCGCTGTGGCAGTCACCTTCGCTGGTATTTCACTGGGAATTCGTGGCTACTTGGCAGGTGAAATTCATTGCTTTGGTCTTGTGTGGGTTGCCGTTGCTGCTGTCTATTGCGATCTGCGGATCCAATCCGATTGTGCTCCGCCGGCCATTATATAAAACTAAAAAAAGTCAAAGCATTTCAGCAGGCTCTCCGCAATTGGCCATGGCCAATGGGGGAGTGCATTGGCGCCTCAAGGTCATTGAAATTCACCCAGCCTCCCTCGACTCACTGCCAATTAGATTTCCCACTGGCCAAGTAAGAGCTTTTTCGATTGAGTGCCAAAGAGGTCGGGAAATCATCGCTGCCTCTGGGGTATATTTTCGCTTTTCTTTGTGGGAATCATCTGGAATATACGAGGAAGAGACCAAGAGATTTTTGTTCGTGGTCGAAGTTTAAAATGACTACTTTTTGCAATTTCAAAACTTAAATATAAGTATTTGTAATGATAAATATTTATGCAAATTTGTAGTCCGACAATTGTTTTACAATTACAAGAGTTTCTTTCCTGCCATCTTAAGCTTCAAGATTTCCTGAATGAAAGTAAGGAAAACTCAAAGCAACTGATAGTGATACACACAATTGTGATGGCAATGCGACAAGTGTAAAATTGTATTCTGCCTAATGGCGAAATATAAGCAAACAAAAGGAGTGCGAGCCTGGTAAAAGTCGCCAGCCACGACAGTAAAAAGAAAGGTGGAAAAGCGTACAGGAAAAAACAAGACAGAAAAACAAACAGAAGTGGAAATGATTTTTGCGAAAAATCTCACGTACGAATCAATTTTTAAACGCCCCTGTGCGATTGTTCTTTTATGCAACAGGCCAACGGGAAACGGATGTGGAGTTTGTGGGCGAGGGAAAGGTAAAAGGGATTTCGCTCAGGTGAGGAACAGGTGAGGTGGCGTTGGGCTAAAAGATCATTACAAGTCATAGAAGCGCCTCGCATTTGGGTTGATTGTTGTGTGAAACTCTGTGCTGCATGCCAAATGAGTTGCGAGCAGAAAAGATTAAGGTTTATTTAGCAGGAGATTTTATTTGAAAATAAAAATAGAGAGACATATTTTGTTGGGTGCATTATTTAAAATACCTATTTAGTTGCCTTATGAACTCGGTTTATAAATGTTTGCAAATATCATTTTTTTTAGCTCAATAATGAAAGAGTTTTTTTTTCCAGTAATTAGTAATTCTCAAAATGTATTTACCTTATTTACAAACAGAAAACCAGGCTGTGTCGCCTGCAAATATTAAAATATCAACACAATTGGTTATTGAATCACCTGAGGTGGTGATAAACAAAATAATAGTTAATAAATAGTAATACTATTTTAAAAAGTAACTTCTCTGAATATTAAAATATACAAATTTACGAATCATTTAATTAATTAATAATTCAAAGTTATGACAATTTGGAACTTAATTTATTTCTGTTACCACATGGCCCCATAAAAAATAAAAATGTTTACAGAATTTTTTATTAAATTAAGTATTAGCCCCTGCCTGAAAGTGGACAGTGAAAACCCAAAAAAAAAAAAACTTTCCAAATCTCACCTTGGCTGGATGCCCAGGAAAGTGCTAAGCGTATCCAAAAAGATTTTCACTGCACCAAATACGATTTTCCATTTAATTCTTCTTTCACTTCTACTGACCCCATTTTCCGCACCCCCTTCCCTCCCCTTTTCAATGCTCTGCTGGCTTAATTAAGCTGAGGTCACTGTTCAGACAATCTAGTGCGGAAGAAAAGAATCGCATTGGATCGAGCCGAAAGTATTGCATAAGGCTTTGAAGATGGGGAGATCTTGACATCGTCTTCCCAGTTTTCCCATCGCTGTCAGAGGTTGATTGAAATCTGCACTCGTCTTGAACTATTTGCAGCTGTTTTGCATCGTCGCACTTATGCAATTATAACTGTAGGCAGGCCCAAGCCCAAGCCCAAGCTCGAGACAATGCCACAATTGCAATTTGTTCAATTGTCAGAGTTGGCCAGAGATGTGGGGAGGAAATCTGTTTTTTTTTTTTGGGTTAATACATGCACAAGTGGAGTATCTGCGGTGACGACATCACTTGAAGTTGCCCAAGCAAAATGTTTAGGAGATTTGGTAATCCCTCGAACTGAATGGTAGATCCCAGTGGCAATATATATATATATATATATCTCCGCCACGTCGATGAAGGCGTTGAGTGGAAACAGCCACCTACAAGACATCGCATAAACAAAAACTTCCACCAGGTGTCTGGCTAATAGAATGCATAAATGTGGTAAATTCGAATACAAATGAAGCTAATGTCAGCAGGAAGGAAAAGGAAAAGCAAAGTGTGCGGTGTGCGGGAAAATAAATTACCATTTGATTCTATTGAACAGCACTGTATTTATTACACCTACTTGGTAATTTAATTTCTTAAAATTTCTTAGATTACGAAATTATATATTTAATAAAATTGATTTGACTCAAACAAAAAAATATAAATTTCTAAAAACTTAAACTACAAAATGTTTAAATTTCATAAGTTGCAATCCAACTATGACTAAGCCCCTTAATTTCACTGTCATTTTAAGCAATTAACCTCCCCCCAAGGGACTTGCATCATCCATCGTATCACAACAATTTCGACCCATTTGGCCTAAACGTTTTCGTAAACGTCTGCGAGCATTTAATTCGGTTTTCTTTGGGTCTACTTTAAGGCGCATTTGCATTAATTATGATAATTGCAACGTTTATGCTTCAATTCTTTGCGTTGTGTGGGTCTCTTTGTCTTTGGGATTTCGATGGTTTCTGGGTCAACGTCACATTTGGGTTAAAAATTGATTTTCGTTTATGGTTTTTACTCGCGTTTTTCGTATTTTTCCCTCCATATCTTTTTCGGCTCGGCTCGACTTGGCTTTATGCTTTTTATGTTGTGCCGGGCCTCGAATTGAGGCGGTCTTAAGGTGGGCGTCAAAGGTGCCAACGAAATTGTTTAATCGATAAGACGACCCTAGCAGGTGGCGAATGGAATGGCACGAACTGCTGGACAAAACCCATTTTCAGAGGTATTTTGTTGTGGCAGTGGGTGTAGAAATTGCTTCTCTTTGCCGGCTTGCAGTTGATGGATCGATCGATGATGGTTTGGAATTAGTAAAACGGTCTTTTGCCTGCCGATAAATAGTTTCGGGGGGTTTTTGCCGTTTAACATATGGTAATTGGACTATCATTTTTCCATAAATGCAATTTTAAATTTTTAATATATGTTATATGTATTTAATATACTTATACTTTTTAAGTCTCTCATTATTTTTTGTCAATTTTGTTCTTCGATATTCTCTTAAACTTGCCTTTGCTTGACATTGAAGTTGTTCTAATGTTGACTTTACATTCACCCCATTTCCATACCCATTATCCTAATTTTTACTATGCCAAATCTAATAATAATTCGTTCTTTGTTTTCCTCTACTTCCAGGTAAGCACAACAATGGCTAAAAACCAAACTACCTCAAGCACTCTTATCTTACCGATTCCACTGGGTAAGTGTTAAAACGAACCCACAAAAGTGTTTCTTGTCTTCCTTTTATCTAAGCTGAAAAATCGCCCGAAGAATTGGCCATAATGTGAATTTATGTTCCCACACACACGCAGGCGCTTATTTCTGGGGGCGTGGCAGTGGGAGCAGTTGCCAAGTAGAAATCCTACGCTTTCCATTACGTCATATTGGCTTTTCGTATATAACTTTTGCACAAGGTTGTCCAAGGCAAACGGGCGTTACATTAATGGGTAACTAGTCGAATCGAAACGAAACGAATCGAATCGAATTGAATGGGGTTCGAGTTCGAGTTCAGTTGAGACTGCACTTGTCTTGGCCAACTATGGCTTGTATCTTTTCTTGTCTTCGCCTTTTGGCCGCACCACCATTTATTATAAGTAATGAGACAGTGGAGAGTTGATTTAACAATTACGGCCTACGTGCGAAGTGCCTTTTTTCGCGTACTTCTTCTATAAAGTCTTGAACTTTTGCCATTTAACTATGGGTTTATTAAAACAGTTCGAGTTAGGTTTTAGATTACTATGAGTTGTTATAAAAAAATAGATCAAAAAGTAAAAAATATCATAAGGAAGGCGCTGAATGCGTAATTTCAAATTATTTTGTAGTTCAAACAAAGGTATTTCTCCAGATATAAAATACTACGAAATACTTGAAAAGTTTAAATAAATGTGGCTTACTTGTAACTTTCTTTGTTACTAGCCAATCTTATCGTACACGAACCCTCCTTAGTTTTCCTCTATAACAATTCTTATGTATATCTACCCGAAAAGCAATCGTTGCCTTGGCAACTAACTAACCCGTGGACTATGTGTACACAAAATGAGCTAAACACAAACAAATAGGTTCAAAGGAGTGCTATAAGCTCATATTTAAAACAAACATGAATTCAAATTGCACGAGCAACTTCTCGAAAACTTTAATAATTCTCACAGTTTCTGAGCAATACTTTTATTTGCTTCGGCACATAAATATTGACTATATTTTGCCTAATTATACAAACATACAGCTGCGAATGAAATGTAAATAATGCTGGCTTTAAAGGTTTACCGATCTGCGGGTCTAGCGTTGATAAAAGAGTCGTTTAAACAAATTAGCAGCGTAAATAAAGATTGCAATATTACGTAGTGAAGATAGAATAATGTGGGTGTATGAGATCTGAGGGTATACTAAATAAAGTAATGCAAAGTTTTTCAGTTATAGAAAGGAATTGCTTGAAGGGAATTTTCTATGTAGCTCCTATTTTAAAACTTTTTGTCAATGGAACTCTATTCATTTATTCCAAATAATATTTTTAAGTGATTGAAAAGCAGGCTGTGATAAATTTTATTTCGTACTGTGTTCCTAGATTTGAAAAAAAGAAGGCTGTGACATTTGTTTCAATCGGCCTTTATTTTAGATTCCCAGCTGGCACATCAAATCAGTCAGTTCAGCTTCAACTGTTCAACTGTAAGGTGCTCTTGTGAATTTACATTCTTTTTATCCTGTCTCGACCAACTTATCCGGTAAATATATTATACTTGTTTTCGGACAAGTCAAATTAGATTTAAACCCAAATAGAGCTGGCATTCTTACGTAAATTTTCGGCATTTGCGAAGATGTCGCTGCCGCGTGTTTATTTCGACATAGCCGCAGGAAATGAGAAGGTCGGACGGATCGTGATGGAGCTGCGATCGGATGTGGTGCCCAAGACGGCGGAGAACTTCCGGGCCCTGTGCACCGGAGAGAAGGGCTACGGCTACAAGGGCTCTCCCTTCCACCGGGTGATCCCGAACTTCATGTGCCAGGGCGGCGACTTCACCAACCAGAACGGAACTGGTGGACGCTCCATCTACGGGAACAAGTTCCCCGATGAGAATTTCCAGCTGAAGCACTCGGGAGCCGGGGTTCTTTCGATGGCCAATGCCGGGCCCAATACCAATGGATCGCAGTTCTTTATCTGCACTGGCGAAACCAACTGGTTGGACAACAAGCACGTCGTGTTTGGCAAGGTCGTCGAGGGAATGGATGTCGTCAAAAAGGTGGAATCGTATGGGTCGAAGGATGGGAAAACCAGCAAGAAGGTCATCATCGAAAACTGTGGTGCCCTCTAAAAGGGGAAACATTTTCAAATTGTCACTTCAACACCTGATGCACCTGATGCGAAGTTCAAGTTAATGTTAATAATGACCAGTAAAATAAATGGTAGCATGAAAAAGATATATCGAAAACCCATTCAGCTTATAGGAACGAATTCGAATTTAAAGAATTTAGTTGGTGTCGCATATATTTTGCTGGAATTACTCATTTTACAGACGAATTCTTTGAATCATTCTCCACGAAAAAGAGCTTCTCTGACTCAGTTTTCCTTTGATTTTCTTTTCCATTACTTTTAATTGACTCAATTTATTTCAAGTGATGCTCGCATATGTCGCTTTTGATTCTTTCCACTCAATTCCTTTGCCGTCTCCCATTACCTTTCCCTTGTGCCTTTCTATCCACTTTACCCAAATGCACTTTGCAAATGTCCATTAAGTCACATACACTCAAAAGAAAAACCACCCCAATATTGCGTACCCCTACAGTCAAATACACTTCACAAAACTTCATTTGTTCAATGTACATTTCTAATATCTAAATAAAAATTCAAAATTATATTTCGAACATTTGTAATCCCAAGAAGTTATGTCCACGTTGAACATCTCAAGAACATTTCCTTTGTTGTTTATTTGCCCAAAGAACCAACTTTTCTATATTCAAACTACGAAAGAAACATTTTATTTTCACAAATTAATGTAGTTGCGAGAAAAAACAATAAAATATAAATTAAATTTATCTGAAATACATATATATTTTTTTTCTTTTTGCCAAAAACAAAAAAAAGGTTAAAAGCTTTTAAACGCTGCTGAGTGTACGAAATACAAATTTCTACAATTCTTTTTTAATAAATATATGTTTTGTAGTGTTCAGAAAATATATGTTCTGTCTCGTTTTCCCAGCAAAAACCATATTTATTTAAAACAAAATAAATTTAAATTAAAATACATATTTTAGCAATACAAATTTTAAAAAATACGAAGTTTGAACATTGGCAAATATTTTCTGATAAACAAATTGATATTATTTTTCGAGTGCATGCAAACGAATTTCCAGCACTACTAAGTCGCATTAGTGGAATTTTGCTGTTGCGTTTATTTTGCTTTTGCTTTGGGGCTCTGGTTTTTTGTTTATCTTTTCTGTTTTTCGGGCACCCAAAACAAGTCGCGGTCGATGCCGACTTCGCCGTCGACGTCGATGCCGACGTCGGCAGAGGAGGAGCCGCCGCTTGGCGCTGGCTGTTGAGTGCTTTCCTCTCTCAGATTGCATTTAACTTTGGCCGCGTTCACAACACTAGAAAAGCGGAGCAACGGTCGCGCTCTCCCAGACGCCCTCTCTCTCGCGCGGGTGTTTTGTTGTTGGGCAATGCAACTGCCGAGGAAAATGAAAAGGAAAATGCAGCTGCTGCTGCTCTCCTAAAGCAAAATTGCCAAAAAAAAAGGTTTCAAATTCAAGAAATTCAACTGAAAATTACCTCAGTTTGTGTGTTTTGTAAATTTTTTTTTTTTTTTTTGCCACCTTATCGATCGGAATCGTTTATCAGTTGTGTCAGGTGCCTTTGGCTCATTAAACGCTTATTTAATAAAAAAAAAATGAAATAAAAACACGTTAATTACACGGTCTGTTGTGAGAAACCCTAATCAAAAAAAACCCCCTTTACTCCTCATATTTCCAATTTTCATACCCTCTGGCAAATATATTGGTTGATTGGTCTTAAATTTTAATTGAAAAGTGCGGTTGAATAAGTCTACCAAGTGTTTTATCGAAAAATAAAAAATCTAAATCAAGTGTGGCATAAAATTGATAAATGATGAAATTAATGATACGAATTTAAGAAAATAAAAAATAAAATAAATAAAAAGCAGTACAGAGGAAGTGTATGATATGGAATATTATAGATTGATAAAACCATGACGTTAATTAATGAGATAAAACAAAGGAAGATAATATAACTAAAAATAATATATGCATAAAGTAGACAGAACAAAGTTTTTGTGTTCTGAATCAACTAATTAAGTGTGATAAAAAGTATTAAATTACGTTGGACAACTTAAATATTTTTTTATGTTAATGATTTCTCTACATTAAGCAGAAAAGGCTTAAAAATAAATATAAGCATATAAGCAAGAATGAAGTTTGAATATAAAAGTTAAATGAATTGAAATAAAATAAAACATAAATAACGTTGAATAAAAAGTGACACTCAAGTACTTTGTATTATTATTGTTACTTTTTACAAAAAGGAAAAACAAAAAGAATAAAAAAAATCCTGAATAATTATTTTGTTTATCATTTTCAAGAAATTTCTGTTCCTCCTTGTTTCACGAAGTACCCTTAAAAAAGGAAATATAATAAAATAAAGCATAGAATTTTCAAGTTCATTCAAAATACATAGCTCGTATATTTTTCCTGCCTCTTGGTTTCTTTTACTTGGCATTTTCCTTACCGTTAAGTTCGGTAGGAAAATGTTTTTTCATTAGCGATGGTTCGTCAATTAGTAGGCATATGAATCTAACGGCACAGTGCTCGAGGCAGAAAAAGAAGAAGACAACGAACCGGAACTGAAAAATAACATTAAAACCAATAAGCAAAAGGTCTAAGGCAGCAATAAAAAAAAAAACGGATAAGAACCGCGATGACATCAACAAATGGGATGAGATGGGGAATGCCACTCCATCCATCCCGCATGCGTCCCGTTACTTTTGCTTCTCGGTTCGTGTCCACGCTTATTCACTTGCGCTTTTGTTTAGTAATGAGTAAAAGATACAAACTGCGGAGGGATTTTTGGGGGGTTGGGGTGACCATATAAAAATTCCACATAATTATGCGCTGTCTCTGACTCAAATACCATATGGTAAAAAAAGAGACAGACAGACTCGACGAGAGAATCACCCTTGGACATATGGCGAAAAAATGTTCCTTGGGGGGATCGCTCTTGTCATTGCTCTTGTTTGTTGATTATTATTTTTCCTATTTATAAAGATTGCGCCTCCCCGTTTTCGCTCTCCCAGTCTCTCTTTTTTCTCTCATTCTCCGATTGCCTCAGTTTATTGTGCCCCTGAATTTGTGGTTCATTCAGTTCGCTTTTCGCGTTTCGCGTGCTTTAAACTAATTTTGTTTGCCTCCCCCGAAAGTTGTGTGTAATAAACATATAACGCAACACAACATTTTCAATAAATTCGAAAAAATTACATTCAGTTTTTAAGAAAATTTAAACATATTTGTGCAAAAGTTTGGCAGCTTTAGATCATTCATGATCTCTTCAAATTTACAAGAAAATCAGGATCGAACTATTTGATTACATCATTTGCTTGAGATTGTAAATAAGATTTTATTGAAACAACCAACAAATAAAAATATTTGTGTTTCAACTGCCACATAAGATTATTCGATAATAGGCATTATCTCTTGTCTCCCAAACCCTTTAAAGGTATAGTGATCTCTTGATACAGTGAACCAATATAATCATGGGCAAAGTTTGCTTAAACAGGAAGAAGCAATATAATATTTGCTCAAATTTTTAAATTCTCAATAGAATTATACTTTTTGATCCATATCACAATACACCACACCGCTTTATAGAAAATCACGCACATTTTAAATCAATGTGTAGCTTGAAACCTCTTTTTCGACTTGTTTTGTTGCATGAAAAATGCACAGCAGCAGAGTAAAATTTGCATTTAATGAGCTCCTTCTCTTGTATACGCTCCCCTTGCCTCATTGTATGCAAATCTTTGGGGAATTCAATTTTGTTGAAGAGTACCTAATGATAATTTTCTTTTATACTATTTTTGATTGGCGGGCATGTGCGAGGCAGAAAATTGTTGAAAAGATAGTAAAACCTCAAAAGACCGAGCTGACAAAAAAAGGAAAGTTTACTTCATTAACAATTTGTGTTTTAATTTATTTGGTTCAGTTGACTAAACATAAAGAAAGAGGATTTTGGGAACTTGTGCATGACTTTTATTATTATTCACATGAGAATAAATATTTATAATACAATAATGATTTTCTGTACTTGTACATAAAAAAAAATCAATTCTATTTTATGTCTTTCTAAGAATTATTCTTATCTTCAATATTAAAAATAAGGCAATCTCACTTAAGGTCTCGTTTTGTTAGAAAAATTCGGTTTTTTTAAACTAGTCAAATCTTTATCAGTCATGCCCTGCTTTGTGGCCACCAAATTGACCTTTGTTTATATGTGTTAATGTGATTATTTAGCTTTGACAAGGGCACCTTACCTATAAAAGTCGCAAACGTTTTGATAAGCACATAAGAATGATTCAGTTTACTGGACTACAAAAATAAACGGCACATACAAATTTCCAAGTAAAAGAAAAGCAAACTTAGCCAGGCATTGCATTTTCTGGTAATTAGAAACTTGTCGGATAGTCAAAACCTAAAGAATGAAAAAACAAAGAAAATAAAGGGAGGGATGGAAATTGCTGTTGCGAGAGGATATTTAAAGTTGCTTAAGAATTTGCCTTAAAGTCTGAACGAAAATAATTTAACGCTCTGTTGGTTGTAGAAAAAGATCGAGAAAGAAAGAAGGGTTGGCTTCACATAATGAATAGAAAACTAACTGTGATTAGCATATTTGTAGAGCTTCTTATAGCCAGAGAATTACATTTTTTTTTCGTTGTTATCTATTTTTAATTTTTTTAGTTCCTACGATAGTGCAATATTAAATTGCTGTTAAATGGAAAATACCATTTGGGGTAGATCGGCTTGTGACAGCACACAGCTGTTGTTTGTCGCGGCTTCTGTCTCTTTCCTTTCTACTCTATCCCTCCTTGTCGTTTCCCTTCAGGCCGTGAAATGAGGTTAGCATGTTGTTTCAGTTTCACCTTTTAGTTCTTTGTCTTAGCGTGGGCGGTCGTCCAAAAGGTTTATTGCCATGTAAAATGCAACAACTGAAGAAATAATTGCAAATGCAAGCTGCAACACTAGACAACGAAATCGAGGTTAGCTGGGGTAATTGACACGAATTTGTTGCCAAGTTGAAATATTGAAAGTTTTCAGGGGAATGAAGGGTGCCTAACTACCCAGAATACATAAAATATGAGGGTGCGAAATGAACTACCCACTTAAGCCCAGATTGGAATACATAAATGATAGGA